TGATAACTGACCTCATTATAAACAGCACTTGATTAAGCAATCTGGATCAGTTCTAGTGGGTCATGCACTTCAGGTTCAGATCAGAAGAGCACATGAATGACCTAACTGATAACAATGAGTGGCTTGATATAAAGAATGTGTCAACAAAAGGGTCAGTGCTACATTATATGAGTGAAGGGCAACCAATAAAGAGAATATTTCAGCAGTCTATGAAAGACATAGTGGACCCAATTAAAAGTGCTTTGGTAGAAGCATTTCCAGTAAAACTTTACTTGAACACTGCTAAATCACATTGATGGCTACTAGGGGTGGGAATCTCTAGGCACCTCATGATTCGATTCGATTACGATTCAGAGGGCTGCGATGCAATTATAAAACGATTATCGATGCATCTCGATGCATCTTTTTTTTCTATACATGATTTCTATTTTCTTACTGTCTGAGGACTTGGTAGTTTTAAAGCAAAATATTTGTAATGATCCATAATACATTTACGTCCAATATCTTTTATTAATAAAACAAATGGAAGTGATGTGGCAAGTGAACTAAAAGGCTCTCATCTTGTTTGGAGACGCTGCTGCCACTTATCTGTGATAAAATGCGCTGTTACGGTGAAATAAGATCCAGTGGCAGTGGATGACCACGCAGCACGTTACAGCCGTCCTACCCATTTTCTTTAGTGATTTTATAACTTCGGTTTTGGTCTCGTGATAGAGGGGGGGAGCGCGAAAGCCCTGTTTCGCAACGACTGAGAACTGGCGTTTCTCACGTAGCAATGAGGTTTTGCCAAGCTAGTAGCGAGCGAAAAAGGAGAAGAGAAAGACAGACGAACATTTGGAGATGAATGGACTTATTCACATTTATAAGCAGCGTTGTTGGTTTCCTGGTACGTTAAGTCCACAACAAGAGACTGTCAAACACTGACTAAAAAGTTGCGAAGATGAAGTTGCTTCTCTTTCTAATTTTCCCATTCCACCTTAAATGGTGCTGCATTTACATTCGGCGCCTCTGTCAGAATTTAAGGTGGAACGGGAAAGTTCAGCAAGAAGCTGCCGAGTGAAAAGGGACTTCAGCCTCGCCGAACGCTGAGAGACATTTTACAAGAAACTGTTCAACTTTTGAGGAAAAGTTTTCTGGTGGAGTTGCAAGAAAAGCAGCTATAGCTAAAGCTTAAAGCAGAGCAGAGTAAGCCTGTGTTTTCGTTTATATTTTTTAGCCTATACTAGGACATTACAACATACTGAACATTAAATGTTGTGGCTCCCAAGGTGCTTTGATTTTTGTTAAAAGGACAAAATGTTCTTCTTAACATTTGTGTCGTGACTCCTGATCTAACCTGGCTTTTAATGCAGTGGCTGCCGGTCGGATTTTTCACTCTTCCATGTGTGTTTTTGTTATGTGCTGCCACAGACTGTCCGGGCGCTGTACTTACCCACTTCCAAGTTCCGCCCTTTGCGTTCCGTCAAGATTACATTATAAATTAAATATTTAGAAAATCGATTTTTCACATTTATAAATCGATTCAGAATCGCCCACGTCTGCATCGCGATGCATCTAAGAATCGATTTTTTTCCCGCACCCCTAATGGCTACTAACTGTAATGCTAACATGAGACTGTTATTTTATGTACATATGACACCTTTATGACATATTTAAGGCATTGTTATGGCAATGTTATACAGCAGGGTTCAAGTGAAGTGTTACCAAAATTTCTTTAGAAAACAAGGTGAATTCTCACACCTAGAAATGAAGGGGTAGTTAATAAATGTAACCAAGACTGACAGTGCACTTGACTCATATTGAAGCCCGGCATCCAATAAAGCATGTGGGAAGAGAACATTAGGCTTTAAGAGCTGTGCAGCTTTCTAGTGAAAATACAAACCATCAAATGGCTCAGGCTTTCCACAAAACTAATCTTGTTAAAAGCATTCTCTCTTAATCCCTCAGACACCCATGATGCTGCAGTGCTAATCCCACTAAAGTATCTCCAAAAAATCCAGTAGAAACGCAAATCCTTCATCCGAAGTTTACAGTGTAAGCTTTAGAACCGGCGATTTAGACTACAGTAAATAAACAATTAATATCTGATGTGGGGGATCGTTGATTGCATGAGTAATTGTGTTGTGATTTAAAAGAAAAGAACATTTCAAACTATTGATAAATCATTCTGGATTATTATTCGCCTTCACAAAAGCACACTCTACTGCTAATGTTGGTGCTGAAAATGGGTATTCTCTGAAAGTTAGAGAAACATAATGTGGTTGAGGTACATAATCACACATATTTAAATGATTATTTGTACACATACATTCACACTGCATGAAGATCTACTCATTTAAAATCATTCAGTGATCCACAGACGAAAATTACAATATACAAAATGCGACATTTAATCAAACCAAATGAAAAGAACAATGTTTTTCTAAAATGGTTTTGATTTATCGTGTGCAGGCTGGCAGTGTAGAAATTAGAATAAAAGAATAAAGCTGAGGTGAAAGTATTGTACCATGTTTGAATGATGCATTGTATGCAGCGTTCTATGTTCATTGGTCTTATTAAGATCGAACAGCAATAGTTCAGTGGCTGAAACATTGGGTGCTTTTCCACTGCACATTCAGAAAATGAGAACTGACCCAAAGGGGACCCAATGGAACTTATGGTCCTTGTTCTAGTATATTTTTCACCTGCTCAAGACACGACTGAAAATTTAATCATCATTTTGGCCATTTTATGCATAACGCATGAAATTTGGCTAATTAGCTATCTTGTGCTGGCATTAAATAATTTAGTGCGCTTTTCTACACTTGCACACTCATATAAATGTCTACACAGAAACATGTAGAATCGGGCAAAGCTTATATTTATCTCTATCATGTTAGAAATTGAGCATATGCGCTCTGTGGAGGCTACCAAAAATTCTAATAACGTTAGTGTTAGCTTCCTGACTGGCTTACATCACCTTAGTGAACTTTTTGCAAAGGAAAAACTTGAAAAATAGCAATCAATACATCAACATCCCGTTCTAGTCTACATTCTGGTGCTCTTTTTGGTCATATAATAGGGCTAAGTGACTTTATCTTTACCTGGAAGAGTACAGAATTAGCTACATTGTTGTTGACTTCAGCGGAAAGTGTTACCAAAGGTAGGGGAAACACCTTTGAGTGCAATTAGGTCCTGTTGTTATCCATCTTGAGCAGGTATCAAGAAACACAAAATTTGAACCTTCATTACTGGACCGATGGCCAGTGGGAAAAAAAAACACAGTTCTGGTACTTTGTGTAGTGGAAAATGCCCATAGAGTGAAGTGTGTACTATCTTAGCAGAACACTTCAACAGTTTCTGGCTAAAACATTTTATCAGTTCTTCAGCTTTTAACATGATTTTTTGTGTGTGTCTGTGTGAAATGCATGCTTCTAAAGTAAGATATGTCACAAAAATGACTTCCCATAGCTTCCTACAAGACATAGAATGAGACCGCAAATGTGCTGTCTAATATACTGCTAATATAGTGATGCAATTTTGTACAACATGTCCTATTGTTTCCATTTTATGGTATCACCTGATAAAGAACAGAACTGTAGCTGAACGCTCAGCCAGAGGAACACAAGTAACTGTCGCTACTAGAGCATTAGCTATCAAGCTAATATATAAATGGCTTTATGCTAAAGAATTTTGTTGAATATGTAAAATACTCATTTATAGATCACATAATAACCCAAAGATGCAAGGATGTGACCCTTGTTGACCTTGCCTTCATATTAGGGCTTTTAAAATTAGAAACTAGACATATTTCTATATTTAGTGGAAACCTATGAGAAACAGGTTTTTGCACCATAACTTACTTTAGAATTGTCTAAAATAAGAATATTTCACAAAAAGATTAAAAATGCCAGGAAAATAGAAAATAGCAAAAGAAGAAACATATTTGTACTTTGTGTACCAATATATGTATTGTTATTTGATAGACAAACTTCAATAGTTTTATATGCAAAACTAAATAGAGTACTGTGCAAAAGTCAGAGACCACCCTTCTTTTCTTTAATTTCCAGTTTAAATGGCCTTTAAGTACAAGTTCTGAGGAGATTAGATATCAGATAATCAACTTGCATAAAGAATGCGAGAAAGAAGGAAAAAGAAGAGAAAACAGAACAGTTTTGTTGGAGTTTTTGTTTGGAGTTTTCAAAACTGGAGTTCAAAAAGTAATAAAAAGACAGAGAAAACTGGACCATCAACAAAATTACCGACCTTAGATTAACAGCAGTTGCCACTTTCATCTTTGAAAGACAGGAGAAAATCGAGCTCCAGGAAGTGAAAGAGTGGAAGCTGTAAATAAATATATAATAAATTTAATATAATAATTATGGGTCTGACCTTTGCTCAGTACCATATAGTATTATGTTTTATGTGGAATCATGCAAATTCAACAAAATAAAATGCAAATATGCTCATGTTCTTTTTAAAATAAAAAAATAAGTCCATCAGTGAGTCTGTGTGACAGTGTGACAATATTCCCAAGATCTCTTCTTTCACTTCATAACTTAATTTCCTGCAGAGCACAGATTAGCAGAGGTTGTCAAAATAAAGCCCATATTGTGGACAGACAGCATCTCACTGACACTTCAGTGTGTAGGGTAGTGTCTGATTAGGTGCAGGCTCAGGGCAGTGGGCTCTCATGAAGCCATCAAATGGGGGCTTCATTCCAACGAGAAGCAACCCATCAGACTGAAAGTTTGAGGATGGTCAACAATTTTGCTGCTTTCTTTGTAAGTATTTTACTTCCCAAAAAAACCTGACAAAGGAAGACATTCTCTCCACTGTAAGGATGATGAGCACACATGAAAACACGCACAAACAGGTGGCCACCTGGACTACTTCAACATAATGTATAAAAGACAACTGCACAGTGAGGTGATGTCATGAAATAAAAAGGGGATGCTGGTTGCCTCATGTGGACATGTAGCAAGAAGAAGGACGGAGCGGTCAGAGGATCTGGGGCTTGCTCAGATTCTGTCCAGAGGAACAGCCGTGTTTGTTATACTGTCTGGCTGGGAATTTTTCCTGTTGTCCAACCCGAAGGGCTCCATGGTGACAGAGGCCACTGTGGAGGCCCCGGGGAGGCATTTAGAAGGGTGCCCACTGGCCCCGTCAAACTGCAGGGCATGACTGGACTCAGAGGTTACAACGATGGATGGAATCAGAGCTGAGAGGTTCTTATGCTCGGCCTGCTCCGAGATCACACGAGGCTGAGAGAGAGGACGTAAATAATGACAGTGAATTAAACATTATTACATGCTTACCTTGCGCAACTGAACTTTCCTGACCTAATTTTATGTTTAATATTGACGCAGCCTCTGATAATATCTGGATGAAAATGAAAAGAAGAAGGAAAAAAACATAATAAGGAAGCTCAGGCTGAAGCAGGGCTACTGTGAGAAGAAACTGCTGCCAAGGTACAGCAGAAAGGACAAAGCACATCATTTGTTAAGTTAACGTTAGGCCTTAAAAAAACAAGCACATTTTCTCCCTCAGTGGGCACAGTAATTTCTGCAGTGGAGGCAGTACAAACTTTTGAGTGCCCTTAGAGGACTTGCAGAAACAGCTTCTCTGAGCTCCAACATTAAGGCCTCCAAGACACAGATGAGGTTCAGTCTTAGACTTGGCAACTTGGCACTGTCAGTTCTCGGTTAAGAAAACTCTATTAAGGAATACACACTATTGTCTAATATAACATTTATTTATCTTTTTTTTTGAAGCAAAATTAATATCACTACTACTGAAATACTGCTAAAAATAATGATTTGCTAAATTGACTATTTGCAAAACTCAGAGAGAGTCCTGCCTCCTTTTGTTATTATTGATGTGTCCATCAAACTTTCAGTAAAGGCTACCTGGTAGCCACCTGTAGCACTCATGCTACATGACTAAAGAATAAGCAAAAGAAAATTTAGAAACACACAGAGGAGTACATCTAAAACATTTTTCATTAAAAAATTAACTGGCTTTACAAGATGTTCAGTGCAGACATGCAGGCAGACCTAACAAAATATGAATGTTGGCCATTTTGAAGTGAACAAAAAATGATTTTTACATTAATCAAACAAGGGAAATCATTTAGTTACTTCAGCAGGTTTTAGCAATGGAATCTACCCGTTCAGGTGAGCTAATGCTAAAGCTAACACTACAGCTAGTCAGATCATGCCAGATGCTGAGGAAGATTCATCATTTATACAAAGTCTTTCAGAAAACTTTACTGAAACAATACAAAGAATGGAATGTGAACGAGTACATTAATATTTATCTCTACACACGTTGGGCCTCGTTCACCAATATCCTCCTAAGTTTGTTCTTAAATGTGTTCTTTGTGCTCGAGTGTGTGTGGATTCTGTTCTTACCAAAAAAAACAAATCTCAAATAAGAAAACATTGGTGAATGCCAGAATCTGCGTAAGGGGATTTTTTCTTAAGAATGGTTGATGAACGAGGACCAATGTTTCAGTCACTAATGTGAATGCTGTACTGTCCTGTTTAATCTGACTGATTTATCAAGTTAACTGTCAACAGCTTAACTAAGAAAAGCTCACTACCTAACATGACATTTTTCTCTAAAATTATACTAAAATGATTTCAGCAAATACACTAAGCCAGATAAAGGTTAGCTAACCTTAGAGCCAGTATAAGTCTATCTGTTTATAGTTTTGACATTATACTATAAGTCTGGTCTTCCACATAGATTAATTAAACTTTTTCAGTTCCAGGAAAGCAATAAAAGTAACACTACCCTCTAGACGAGCAGGATATGTTGTCTGTGTGTCAAGCATTATATGTTTCTCTATTACACCTTTCCACAATTTCTTAGTCTAATTTAGACTGTCAGTGCCGTTCTGACTGCAGGTTTCTTCTTGACAAAGGTCTTGCCTGACAAAGGAAGACAACTGTAATTAGCTGAGAGGGCTGTCAATCATAATTTTGCAAATAGTAAATCTAGAAGAATCTGATCCGTGAAAGATCAACTTTTTTTTTTTAAAATAAGTATACTAAGATTTGCTAAGATTTTTTCCATAGGAGAATATATTATGTAACTCAGTCTTGAAAATTATGTTAGTTATGTAAGCTTTTCTGAATGGATTTGATTGTTTAATTAGCACTACTACATGCAACCTATACAGATCCATTAAATTAATGCATTATATCCTATCTGGCTTGCCCTCTGGCTTGCTCAGATCTTAGAATTTTTTTTGCGAATTTATTACTTAATTAATATATAACTAAAGTAGCAAAGCCTGCATTTCCATTGAAATGAATCCTACTCTCTTACTCATTGCCAGGTCGATCTTTATTGCTACATGATGGAAACTGACACAGACAACTGAGCAAAACAGATTAATGATTGTGACAGAATGCAATCGCTTGAGCTACGCAGGCACAAAATCGATATCGGTGCACTTACAGTGGGCGGCAGATGATTGGACGGGCTAACTTCGGTCATGGAGATGTCATCTTTATCTGCCATAGTCTGTGATTAAGAGACAGACACCATGACAATTATTTTATTAATTATTCAAACAAGTACTCTTAGCCAGCGGACAAGAATATACTACCGACACTATAGAAAACCTCTTTGTATCTGAACCCAGCCACCCCTACTTCTAACTTGTGCCATGCTAAAATTGTAACTTGTGCTTTGTTTAGCATGTGGGCTGGTGAGCATGAATGGTGGCAGGTCTGAGAAGAGTGCCACTCAGTGGACACACTGGTCACACTCCCCCTGAGCCAGGCCCTCTGGACATGAGGCTGTTTATGGGGATTATCTCAAAGAGCAACAGATTAGACCAAGAGAATTATAGCCTAGCCTTAATCGCACAGGAAGAGAACTCTATTCATTCTGGTCCAGTTTAGACCTGAACCACACAACGATCCGCAACATGTGACCTAAATCAACCTGCTTCTTTAGGCCACATTGTGATGTGGCCTCATTAAAATCTATTACATTATATTCAAGACTCATTAGGGCGGAAAGGGACCAAAATCAATACTTTAGTTAAATTTCAACAATGCTTTATTATTTCTTTTGCAAACCTATACAAAACCAAACTGAGGCAAATTAGGGTCTTTACCAGATTAACACCAGTTATTATATTATATACATCGAAAAACCTTTTCATCAATCAACAAAGGAATAAAACTTGCAGCACCAGTAGAACCTCAGGGGGAACTTTCCACAGCATTTTAAAATGTATTATAAAATGATAAAGACCTCTTGGAATGTATTATCAAAGTAAATAGGTAAAGGAATCAATAAACAAGACATCAGTGTGCGTACTAAAACGTAACGTCAAGAAAAAAATGAGAGTGAGCAGAACAGAGGATAAAAGGAGGTTTAATTGAAAAACGTGTCATGATTTGATGAGCAAGAGTGATAGGGAGACACTTGCAGGTGTCTGCTTGTAGATCTCTAAGAGTGATAGCACAGCTACATCAAAAGGCAAAACCAATGAGAGCAGAGTTAATCTGCCTTTTAATTAATGTGTGATGAAAACACAGTGGAGATGCTTTGCAAGTGTGGCTCCCCTCACTGTGGTTCAGCCCCACTATGAAACTAACTCATCATTTGTCACGATACCATGACAGCTAAAAGCTCATACTTGCATCATATAATGTAATTTCTGAAGGATCAATGTCATTTATATCACAATTCCACAAGGCCTAATTGAGTTTTTCCTTCCCTGGAAACCCTGTAATTAATTCACCTAATTGTGTGTCACCTAATTTCACAAAGGCTGATTAACCGAGTGAGATATGTGTTTTGTGGCATGTGTGATAATGTGGTTTCTCACTTACACTGATGTAAGCACAGGTGGTGAGGTTCAGACCTGGCTCTGAAGGGCTCTGGCTGCAGTTTCTGTCGAAGCCGCCTGAGTTTTGGCCCTTGGCCTTTACCTTCAGAGAGCTGCTCTGTCTAAAGTCCGTCAGCTCCTTACGGATATCATACGACACCTGACGACTGGCAGAACGCGATGTTGCGCTGGACAGGTCTGCTTCTGTATCTGTCAAACCCTGAGAAACACAGACATTCACAGAAACACTCACACATGGCAGTGAGGATAACAACCTGCAGAAATGTAGGCTTATTATGTACTTATAAATCTTAAGACTTATTATTCAGTAGCTACTACGATTTCTTTGGTAATTACTGTGGAACTAATATGCAAGTTATATAGTCATGAGAGTTAGAAACTGTGTGGAAGCCCTTAGGGTTTGAATGGACTATTCCCCACTATTTATTTATTTATTTATTCATTCATTTAATTGTTGATTAATTGATTCATTGATTGATTGAGTCTTTTTAATTTAATTGTTATTTTGATGTTACTTGTTTTTTAGACATAGGACATACTGTATCTGGTTATTAATAGGGAGCTTGTCTCCCTTTGTTGCATTTACAGCCTCTACTCTTCTGGCAAGGCTTTTTACCAGATGTTGGAACATTGCTGTGAGGATTTGAGTGCATTCAGAAGAACACAAGAATGTAGTGAGGTCAGGTACTGAAATTAGATGATCAGTTCTGAATCACAAATGCCACTCCAACTCGTCCCAAAGGCACTAGATGGTGCTCCATCACGCCAGAGAACACAGTTCCACTACTCCACAGCCCAATGCTTGGGGCCTTTATACTCCTCTAGATGATGCTTGTTATTGGGCATGTTGACTTTAGGCACATGGTTGGCTGCTCCAGAGACTGCCACTCTATTGGCAATGCTTTTCTGTGGAAATTATACAAGCTGTGCCCAACTGAACAAACTCTGGTTCGTCTTAAGGCTACCAGCTTGTGCTCTTAGGGGGTTTTGCCTCCCACTGTCATCCTAGACTCACTAATTAGATCTTGACTCCTAGAAAAGCTGTCTTGTGACAACATTGTGTAAAAAGCAGTATATAAATAAAATTGAATTGAATTATAGTCATGGTGTGAATGGGTAAAGATGCATTCGTACAGACTCGCTGTCAGACACAGAGGATAGGCGGGTCTTGCTGGTGCGTCGCAGGTTGCTGCTGATCTCGGATGACTGGCTGGTGACGGTGGAACGACGTGTGGACATGAAGCTGCTGCTAGTGAACCTGTCTCTACGTGGCACACACAACAGTACTCCTAGACATGGGATGTACTTGGCTAAAGCAGACCTGGAAGACAGGAGCGGGGAAGTAGAGGCAGGTGGCAGGAGGAAGGAGTATATGAAGGAGTGGAAGAATATAATTAAAAAAGGAGAGAGAAAAAATGGAAAATGGAAGTAGTACAAGGAAATGAAATGCCCAAGTCAGCAGCATATTACTTTAAATGAATATAAATGTGAAAGATATAGACCAGCACAGCCTGAGAGGAGGCATGTGATCACATATATATGTGCACTTCTGTCTTTGTAGAGAAGCACTCAATGACTGTGTCTGATACACTGCATATGTATGATATGTAATTTTTATTGATGATTTAGCAGTGGTCAGGTACTTCATAATAAGTCAGATCATTTACTTGATCCCTGTGGCTTCATTTCACTTTTAAATCAAGCGCATGAATTGCAAAGAATGTTCTACAACACATCACATAACCACTAGCTAGCACCACTGAACATGCTTCATATATTTCTGCTAACAATATAGTGATATATAACCTTTATAACTCACTATATTGGCCACAATAAAACCATGTTGTTCCAGGCTTTTCTCCAGTTTTAAATAAAATGTAGTACTCTGCAAAAGTCAGAGACCACCTTTCCTTAATTTCCAGTCAAACAGCCGTTAAGTACATTAAAAGTTAGTACATTAGTAAGTAAGTTATTCATTTTTCAGCATCAGGAAAAAACAAACAAAAAATGTATACATATATATATTGTTTTGAGAAGACCAACAGTTTCTTTTTTGATTCGCAATTTTCTTCTTTTTTGTCTATTTCCTTTTCTCAGTAACAGCTTCTTGACAGCTGCACATCCTTTCAGACCCATAGTGCTGAGTTGTCTTCTCACAGTGTAAGGATGGACAGAAACATCTGTGGATTTTTCCAGATCTGAAGTAAGAGTGGAGCTTGATTTTCTCCTCTCTCTCAAAGATGAAAGCTTTAAGTACTGTTTATCTGATGGTGACAGTTTTGGTGGTCTACCAGGTCATGCACAGTTAACTTAAGTTTTAAAAAGTCATGTTTTTTCACTTATTGTCCTTTGACTTTCCCTTTTCTTATGCAAGTTAATTATTTTATAACTAAGCTCTTTAGAAATATCTCTTGAAAAATGGCTACATTAATGGCAGTTTTGAGTGGAAATTAGATAAATAAATAAATCATTTAAGAGTGGTCTCTGATTGTGCACAGTACTGTGTATAGTTTTATAGACAAAACCACTGAGGTTTGCTTAATAAATGAATAGTACATGTATTTTCTTCATAAAAATACTTTCCCAATTTTTTGGCATTTTTAAGTAAATAAAGGCACAGTCCTGTATTCACATTAGGTATGGTTAGTGGGACTAGCTAGAGGTCATTTATTGTGCAGTAGAACAAACATTCTTTGTGATTCATGGGCTAGGATCAAGGTCATTATAAAACCACAAAGGTCACATAAATGATGATTTTACTTATAAAATACCTGACCACGTCTAAGCGATCAATAAAACTGGATTGATTACAGTTCTCTGTCTCTACGTGTCTCTTAGATCAGAATATGTTTATTATTTGTTCTCCTCACATGTAAGCAATCTTTATAGCCCTGTTGTTTGCAGTTCAGCTGAGCTGTAAGATTGCCTTCGTCGCCTGCTCGAGGCCCAATGTTTCATTTTGCCTGACGGATTTTCGGATTGAAAACTGTGTGAACTGGGTTATTAGTTATTAACTCTGCGTCCTTGTCACACCGCCCTGCCTTACTGAGCTCCTGCCCTGCTTTATTATTCAAACCCTTTCACTGAGCTCAAGACAACTCACTCATAAAGAAGCAAGGCTTGATGCATGAGTGTGGCAGGATTGCAGCTGTCAGCAGCTATTCACTTACCATAACAACATGACCTGGTCTATAGATCAAGGCCTAAACATGCTTCACTCAGCAGCTTTATTTTGACAGCAGTGAGGTGCAGTACCTGTATTTGGGGTGTGTGATGGCGTAAATGATGGGGTTGTGAATAGCTGAAGCCTTGGCTATCACAGCAGGAACAGAATTCATGTAGGGTGTAAGCATGTCAGCATAACTAAAAGACAGAGAGAGAAGAATAACATAACCACATTACATACCATTACAGCATTATACAATACAAGGCTGTCAGCCAGTATAAACACAACCTCTCACAACTTCATTACACTGCAGAGATAGGAAAGTGGGTAAAATTGCTCTCTCTCTCAAGGTGAGTCATGCATATGTTTATTGCACTGCCAGTGGTGGTCAGAGACAGAATAACAGAGGGAGTTAGTGCTGTAACATGGCTGACAAGGACTTCTATCATAAATAAGCAAGGCTAGAAGAACACAGGGTCAGATGTACTATGCATTTTATGCCAGGTTCAAGGCACAAAAAGGATGCCCTAGGAAGCATGGATGTTTTGTACAAAACTGGCGTATCTGCACAATGGAAATATGCGAAATGCACTTTCTTCCCTCATACATATACACTTGATGGAGGATCATGCAAAAAAAATTGGTGGAGATGTTGGGAGGCGATTGCATAATCTGTTTCAGTGGCCAGTTTATGTTCACTTTTCTCTGAGTCTTAAAACCAGGCATAAATTAATGGTTATGTTTTTGGGAGACTCTTAAATTCCCAGGCCTATTTTAGCCTGAGTATTGGACCACCCTCTTTTTGGTCATTTTTGTGGGGTAGCTGGATAGTTGTTAAAAAAAAAAATGAACATAGCTGATATTGCTAATAATATTTTCCATTAAGTTTCCCACACCAATTATATTGTGCTGTCATTACAAGCCAAAAAGCGGTTGACTGCATAAGTGAAAATGCACCATGTGCACACTGAGCTGTGCCAAACAGGAACCTCTGACAGTCAGCAGCAGAAGAAATATCAGAATGTTATTGGTATCAGATGATACTATAGGTTTATTATCATATTTAATATTGTAAAGGAAAAAGAGGTATTGTGTCATCTGTAGGTGCTAGCATTACATGTAGGCTATAGCCTCTCTATGGTCCCCCTACTTGTATGACCAAAAGTGCATCACTGATCCTGAGGCCTCATATTCAGAAATTACATGGAAAACAATGCAAACTGACTGAGTAATTCTTAAGAGAGCAGAATGGGAGTGGTTAAGAGTTTTACAGTGGCAGCATTTATAGCTGCTAGACAGAGAAACAGGCCTACATGAATATATGCCATAAAATAACATGAATACAACTCTTAAAAACAGCCATGGTTCATCTTGTGACTCCTACAGAATTGACCTTTCATGTTACAGTTTCCCAAATTCATAGGTGTTAATCCATACAGTTCGGCCTTATAAGATATGCTTTTGGTAGTATATGGCTGTGTAAGGCTGAAATACCGGAAAACTATTGCAATACAGGCCCATAAACTCTGACCAACAGTGTCACACTCAAATTTGTTTTTCACTTTCTGTTTTTTGAGACTTACTAGCCTTAAAAGTAATGTGATCAGATTACAGGTGGTGCAGCATGAGCACAGCTATATATTACATAGGTAATGTGAAATTCTTTTGTCACACGCATGCTGTACATGGACAAAACAGATATCGCCTCACATCAGAAATGATCCAAGACAGCAGAGAGTTGCCACATCTGGAGTGTAACTTAATTAAATATATATTAACAAAGATGCATTTGTCCCTCAATCACATTCTTGGAGATGACTATGCATAATCAGTGAGTTTTTGTTCTGTTGGCTCATCAAAGACCAACTCTGCTTTCTCTCTCCCTCGCTCTCTCTCTCTCTGATTATGTTTGTATGCATATTTAATGGATTTAATGAATTTAACAGAGAGACTGCTTAGCTATTTCATTTTCAAATAAAGCAAAAATACAAACACATTTCTTATTTAGTAATAGGTAATTACTATGATTACCAGAGAAATATGTCACAGTAAAGAAAACTAGTTAAATAGCTGATGGTTTTAATAGTAAAAATGTACTATATGGGGATCTGTGAATTTATACAGTTCAAAAGCTGTGAATATAAGGATTACTGTCCATAGAGTGTTGAAACCTTGCAGATTCTACTCTTGAATCATGTAATAGATGGATGGCATCAGAAGGGTTAAATTTGTTGTCATAGTGTCATAGTGTCATAGTGCATTAGTGAATAAGCAGTCAACGAAACTTTTTAGCATTAATAATGACACCAAAATTACAACAAATATCTGACCATGAAAGTTGAGTATTCAAATGAATGACAGTTACATAAACAAAGTTTTCCTTTGTAATTGTAAAATATGACACATTATCAAACAGGGTCAATCTACTGTAATGAAACTGTTGTTGTGAAATTCTTTGTTGTTGAGACTTCATCAACTACAAAACTGAAATTCTGTGTCTTCATTGAGAGGAAAATGCAGCCTATGGTTAACAAATAATCTGTTGATGTCTGTATTTGACTCACAGTATTTGACTCAGTCCACATAGCACCACAAACTACATCTTAGATTTATAGCATTCAATTTAGAGATGCTTGAAATGGAACAAACCCTTTATGCCACTTGGGAGTGTTTCTGAGATGCTGCAGAAAGGGATTATGGTATTTGTGGTATTGTGACAATTGGAAGCCTCTTTGGGAATAAAAACTTGGATTTCTCAGGCTTCTATGGGCCAATCTGGACAATCCTCTTTCTGTTCATTTCCAGAGGGCCTAGATATTTTAAAGACAATAAATAGATCATTGATAGTTTTCATTTAGTGGCAACTGGTATTCTACTGATCGCTAGGTGTTATGAGCTGCTATGCTGTGATGACAATGATGTGATGAGTTTAGTTGAACTTAATTAATGTATGCATGATTTGGCTCACACACAGCAAGGCCAATGTACAGTGACAGTCATGTGAAACAAACAAAACAAAGTATGTGAACTATTAATTTAGTTTATCTACATTTACAGAATAATAGTTATGTAGCTACATTTTGCCTGCACTACATGCAGCTACATTAAACTGAAGCAAATAACTGTATTTTTTCTGTGCTACATATAATGCATTTATAATGTAATCCTATTTATTTATGTATTTATTCTGTGTCAATGTATTCAGAGTCTTAATTTCAAGAGACATATAATATTTTATGACACTTATAATGGTCTCCAGAAGTTACCACAAGCATTTTTGTTCCATTTTGAGAATTTCAAATTCAATGAAAAACTAAGAGACAGAATTATTATGTGTCTCCACAGAGAACATACAGTACAGACTTTGAAAGGTCATGTGGAAAGCTCACTCTTTAAATTAAGCACTGGATGATACATGTGTGTGTTGATTCTCACCCTGCAAAAGCAGTCAGAGCCACACAGGAGTATGGAGACCAGGAGATAACATACAGTAGGATAACTATGAGAGCCACCTTCGCCATCTTCCACTCACTCTTCATTCGGTGGAACTTTTTGATTGAGTCTTTGGTAGTTCCCCCTTCTGCACTGATTTTCCCCACAGCGCTGTAACATACACACACACACACACACACACACATACACACACACACACACACACAAACACGCATGCACAGACATAGATCCAATAAATTACACAAACTGTACAAATAATACTGATGTCAATCTTTTCTTCAGGGCATGTTTGTTTGTTTATTTATTTATTTATTTATTTATTTATTTATTTAAAAGAACATATTTGTACTAATCATCAAATCACTACATATGTGTGTCTATATAAAACACAGTTCTATATGTGTGAACACAGATTTGTGCCAGATTTCTTCTGGATGCCTCCAGCCATCGCATGGATTTTCCATCACCAGTACACTTGATTTAACAGAATAAGGTATTGATTAGCCAAATGAGCTGCTGGATGATACCTACAATAAATACTGGGCTGCACCTTGAAGAGGGTTGGAATTACTAAACAAAGAGTACGAAAATTACTACTTATTGTATTCTGTATTAATTCTAATATTAGTGTTTTTCTGAGCAAATAAACACTGAATATTTAAATTTAGGTACCTCAAACCTTTGCACAGTACTGTTAGCGCTGTTTGTTTACATTTACATAAATGGAAAATGAGAGGTATACAATTTTGTGTATAGTGTATTGAGAATTTTATATATTTTTATATATCTCAAGCTGACACCTGCACCTACAAGAGATAATTCATATACATTACTATATATACATATACAGTTTATAATTAGCATACTTCTGTTCAGCCAGTGCAATGATAGGCCTCATAAAGTTAGTGTAAATATAATATTAGATTTTTAATGACACGTTTTCCTTCTTTATTTAATTCAAAGATTTAAGTAAAACCTGTGATCCTCTAGAGGAGCATGTCTGTGTCTGCTAACAGTGAGTCAACCTGAGCTGACCTGGTCGTGTTCCGAATGGCACGGAAGATGCAGAAGTAGCAGTACATAATGACAAACAGAGGGATAAAGAAGACGAAGACGAAGAGCAGCATTGTGTAGGCGCGTACAGATGGAGTGAAGGTCATGTAGTCCCATGTGCAGGAGGTCAACAGTCCCTCAGGAACGTAAGCACCTGCAACAAAAATGATACAACACAACAATGTTTCCAGCCTACAGGGACCCCCTGCTGCAAGATAAGAAAAATGTGGATTGTCTGAGAGTCTCTGAGGATTGAGCTGTGAAATGCTGCAGGAATCAAAGCCTGTGTGCATAGCATGTGTGTGTGTGTGTGTGTGAGGCAGAGACAGACCACTCACTCCATCCAAAGAAGGGAGGAAGACTCCAGCACATGGTGTACAGCCAGGCAATAACGAGGATGATGAGGGCGCGCTTGTGTGACATCTTGCCGATGGAGGCCAGAGGGCGAGTGATTACGAAGTATCGATCCACCGCGATGACCACAAGCGTGATCATGGAGCACATCCCAAACAGAGCACCACAAAACGCATACAACTCACAGCCTAGAGAGAGAGAGAGAGAGAGAGAGAGAGAGAGAGAGATGCAGTGAAGACATAAAGAGAGACTCCAGTTCCAGTTGAAACTCCAGTTCAATAGAGGCTGACCGGACACTTTTTCAGTAGCTCTGTTTCCAGAAGTAAAAATCTCTTCTTCATAGATATTTTGGAAAATCCTGATATATAGAGTATATAAAGAGTTTTAAGCACTCAATCGAACCAACCAACTATGAGTTTAATCATTTATAAACATTTGTTTGGGGGAAAAAAATTGAAAAATGAACAAAAAGTACAAGACTGTGTACTTAATTTTTTAAGGAGGGAATGAAATACTTATCCCAAAAAAATGGTTTTAACTGATCATTTTACCTCCAGTCCAAACAGTTTCAGCCAACTTTTGCAATCTCAAATTTTCTGTCTCTTTCTTGTAACATTACATATTTGAGGTGTTTTATCACTGTTTATTTTACAGTTTTATGCACATACAGCATTTGCATTTTTGTCTTTCTGGTTTCTTCTTTCTGTTCTATTTTTGAATTGTTTGCCATTAAGTTGCTTAGCAGTCATGGAACAGTGAACCTTAGTATAAAAGAATGGTGAGAGAGTTTATTTTCTTTCATTTATTTCCACTTTTTTTAATCGCAATTGTTGCTTTGGATGCCAGTGACACAAACTCGCAAAGTATTTCCCTGTCTTTTTGTGCAAGGTCTTCCTGTCATTCTGTATGTCCTGTCTTTTTCACTGACCTTGACAAAACAACAGGCTGCCACTCAAACAAACAACACTTCACTACAAGGCCTGACTCTGATTCTTACACTTTAAGAACACTCTGCCATGGAACCCCTAATGTCTCTGAGTGGTGTATTTCTTTATGGGAAATGGGGCGATAAAACACAATTTGTTTAAAACGAAGTTTAAATCAGACATTTTTAACTTATGACTTCTATCAGATCATATACCAATGCCTCACAATCTAGTAGCTGGTGGTAAAGTCTGTGTTGGGCAGTTAAAATTTTATGACTAAAAAATCGAACTCCCTTATGGCGATTATGAGTGGGATTTTTACTTCCAGAACCAGACTGTTCAGCTGTATTGACCAACATATGCTCCGTCCACAAATGAGGTTGGACTTTACAGAAAAATCCCTTTCAAATGAATGAGAAAGAGCACACTTTAAGGTCATTACATAATGTTTTGTTTCCACTTTAAAATGTTAAGTTACTGAGCTGCATTGTTTTTGTCACTAACTGAAATTAGTCAGTTGGTAACAACAACAAACTTGACACCAGGACAACATAAGCTCAATTACATGACAAAATATACACCTGATCTATCCTAACTTCATTCAGCGTGTGTGCAAACTGTACAGTACAACTTCTAATGAAGTTGCATGGGATTTTCGCGAAAGTTCAACCTCGCAACAGTAACTATGAAAGAATGCCTTTGTGGGCGGAGCATGGAAAAGTTTCTCCACACATTATTATAAGTAAGAGTTATCAACATATACGTGTTACATCCATATAAGCAAGCCAAAGCCCTTTTGCCTCCTCATATTTGTGGAATCAGTCCTGCTGTCTGGCTCATTCACATGTGACTTGTCTAAATCAAACTGGAAATGATACAGAAAAAACAATGTACACCACTGTGTAAGAGTCAATGACCACCTTTCAGTTTTTAATCCCTACTCAAAACAGCTACAAGTTATTCATTTTTTTGTATCAGGAAAAAACATTTAACATAAAATTAGAGAGAACAACAACTTAACAACTAAATATAACCAATTGTTTTCAGTATATAGTGTATCCACCCTTTCTTCCAGTCTTTCTGAGGAGATTTCTTTTTCAAAGCCCAAAGAGAGACCATCAGAAAGAGAAAGTAGGAGAGAGAGAGAGGGACAGTGGGCAGGACTGTCAAATGACCAATCTAGGCTTCACCCACAAATGTACTGATTTTAAGCAACTGTAGCAAGGTTAGACAAGCTTTAGAGAACACTGACACAAACCTATTCAACCGAATGAGAAACAGCACACTTTAGGGATCCTTACATAATGTCGTGTTTTCAGTTTAAAATGTTATGCTACTGAGCTGCATTGTTTTTGTAGCTAATTGAAATGAAATCTAGTTTGAATGAAAATGACAAATTCAACACCACACTAAAGTTAGCCCAAATGCATGCAGGGGTATGGCCAGCACGTTTACAGTGGGTGGTCAGGTTAGACCCACTGAATTTACTGGAGTGGGAAAGAGAAACATAATACAGTGGTTAATTACGTGCCTCTTTGCATATATATCAAAATGCATTGACTTTACTCAACACAATTACTGAAAGACAAAACTGAGTGTTTTATTCCTTCATGATGAAAATACTGATGTATTTTATTAATTCATGAGAAAACTATGCAAACATTTGAATCAAGTAAATTAAATGCATCATTTTTTTCAATGGATTAACATTAATATTTCAGGTCATAGAAGTTAGGCTGCCCTCACTACAGGTCACTCATGAGTCTAATGATAATGCAGCCAGACAGCACAGTATAAGGTAACGTTGTGAGAGTACAGTCTTTGGCTGGGTGACGAGCTGATCTATGTTTAGCACGAACGTATACCACTCAGCACTGGATTCACCTCAGATGAATCTAGGCTGAACACACACACAGTCAGCTGTAAAATAACATGACAAATGATTATAGCTGAGTAATTTTGGATTGTTAACACATATATTACCCTAGGCTACTTCACGTACTGCAGCTCACAGTGCAGCACTGCTGAAGGGACACAGTGCGCAGTAAAAACGAGAATACTGGATAATTAGTTAATGTGGTCATAATTCAGTGTAGATAATAGTAAAATAATGTTATTGTCTGGTTAACCACATGTTTAAATGTAATCTGTAGTCTGAAAAAGCAGACAGTGCAGTGAGTGGAGTGTGATCTCACCCTTACAGCTGATCAGTAATTAATGAGGACAGAATATACAGTCACCATGAATATACAGTCATGCGAAGAAGTAAGTACATACAAAAATTCAGACTTTTTCTGCATATTTGGACATACATTTATCCAGTCCTCATTTAAACAGTGTTGCTAGATAAAGGTGATATAATTCAACAACACCTGAAATAAACATTTTTGTCATCCTTTATGTAAACAACCGCCAACTTGTTCAGGCCAGGCTACCCCAGCAAATTTAACCTAAGAGCAGTGTGTAAGATGCTAAAAGAAGTTTCTAAGAACCCCAAAATATCATCACAGGATCTGCAGGTAGCCTTTGCCACTGTTGACTTAAAAGTGTATACATCCTGGTGTGCCAGGAGGAAGCATTTGCTGGAACAATGCGCTGTTGACAAATGAGTCAAAGACAGAGTAAATTTGGCCACAGTACCAGAAGCATGGCTAAAAAAACCAAAGACAGCATTTAAAGCAAGGTGGTGGAAATGTTACAGTTTGGGGCTGCTTTGCTGCTTCAGGGCCTGGCCAACTTGCAGTCATAGAATTGACTATGAATTCTCTTTTATACAAGAGAGAACTTGAGAAGAATGTGAGACCAGCTGTAAAACAGTTGAAGCTGAAGAAGTGGACCTTCCAACAGGATAAATACACCAAACTACAAGTAAATCCACAAAGGAATGGCTCAAAAGAAAAAAATGGAGGTTATGGAATGGCCTAGTCAAAGTCCAGATCTGAATCCCTTTGTATTGATGTGGGGGGGATTTGAAATGGGCTGTACGCAAGAATTCTGTATTAAGAAGTGGGCAAAAATTATGCCCATTAGATGTCAGAAACTGGTAGACAGTGATAAGAAACACCTACATGAAGTTGTTTCTGTCAAAATGGGCAACACTACTCACTGAAGCCAGAGGTGTACTTACTTTTTCAACAGAAAAATACATTTCAGTTATTTTTTTTTTAAATAAATGATTACAAAGTCAAATTATCTTTGCTTTGTGTTATATTATGTAACATTTATCTATACATATTGTATAAATCAGGGATGTCGAACTCAACCACTAAAAGGGCCATGTTAAAAAATCTTAGCCAATCTGTGGGCCAGCTGTGTTTTTATTTAATTTTTACTGAGCATTTTGCCACGATCCGAACAGGAGATTATTTATTTAAAATATACCAAATTGCAACAGCAAAATAGGCACTAAATACTTATTCAAAAATAATTCTAAAAAAAAACGCACAGTTAATTGCAGTGCATGCTGGGGACTGTAGTGCAGTTCAGGCTGAAATGGGCTAATAGGAATAGAAAATTAAAATAATTTCATGGGCCGAATAGGACTGTGCCACGGGCCTGACTTGGTCCGCAGGCCTTGTGTTTTACACATGGGGTATAGATGATGATCAAATGCTGATGTCCACATATGTCAAAATGAAACATTTCATACTACTTCACATGATTGTAACTGTTCACACAGGGCAGGTACAACTTTTCTCTAGTCACTGCTTTACTAATGATGGCTGACTGTCTCACATTGTTTAACTGGTTTCATGCTATGGCCACCTCTTGGCTACACTCCAGATTGCATGACAAAAAACGAGGTAGGACAAGCTTTACAGAGCGCTGATAAAAATCCAAACTGACTGAATGAGAAACAGCGCACTTTAGGGTCACTACATAACGTTCGGTTTCTTATTGTAAATAAATCTGCAGGGATTTCCTTTTATCAGTAACGACTATTTTACAGCTACACATCCTTTCAGACTCATAGTGTTCAGTCGTCCTCTCTCAGTGGAAGGATGGACAGAAACACCTGTGGATTTTTCCAGATCTGAAGCAAGAGTGGAGCTTGATTTTCTCCTCTCTCTCTAAAAGAAGAAAGCTTTAAGTGCTGTATATCTGATGGTGACAGTTTTGCTGGTCTATCAGGTCTTGTATGGCTGTTAGGAGTGCCATTTTACTGTATAACTATTAATATTTTTTGAACTCCAGTTTTGGAAACTCTTGTGTTCACTCACTTTCCTTTGATGTCCCCCCTCTTTATGCAAGTGGGTTATTTTATACAGAATTTCTTCAGAAATATCTCTTGAAAACGGAATATCTTAATGGCCGTTTTGACAAAAAATGGTGGTCTCTGACTTTTGCACTGTGCTGTATTCTCTCAACCAAGTGACTAAGAATTACAATCACATTGTTGCAGAAAAGAGAAAAAGAAAGAATGAAAAAAAGAGAAATAAACTCATTATTTCTGTATCATAGGATTGTTTCTTTGTAAATGTCACTTATATATAATCACACAGATTTGTCAGCACACAGTAACTGCAGTGGGCTGTGGGTCAAGGATGGTAGTTGATTAGGAAGATACTGCAGGCAGTGAGAGATTTCCCCTAAGCAGCTTTCAACCCTATACTAAAGTGCATAGACCAAAAATGCTGCCGAATGTTTTTGTGTGACATTTTTGTATGACAAATGTGTTTTAGCAGTAAAAATAAAGCATTACTGTTAGCTACTGTGAATATTCAGCATCTACCTTCCCTGATCTATGTGATAGATTATGTATGTGGTGGTTATATGTACTTCCTGGATTAGGAACAGAAAAACTGTGTAACTGTGTATCTGGCCTCAATAAGCACTCACTGGCTTCTGCGCATGCCTGAAAAAGCATTTAACTTAATGAGAGCTCTGCTTAGGACTGAGTGAAACACATAGAGGAAAAAAAAAACATTCAGAATTGGACATTTCTGTGTTGAACACAGCTTAGTAAAGATGAGTTTTGGGTATTTTTTATTTATTTTTCAACAGCTTTTATGGTCCACAGTAACTACATGCATACACATTCAAAAGCAAGCTCTTCCTTCAGTTAATTAAATACAGTGGACAAAGTACCACCCAAACCCATTTCCAAAAAAGCTAAGACAGTATGTGAATTTCTTTGTGGGGAAAAAAAATAATAAAAAACAAAAACAACAACAACAGTAAAAAAAAATATACTTACTGCTGTAATTCACTGGACATGACATGTACCACTGCACTGTCACCTGCATCTATCTATCTATCTAAACTTTATTGTGTTTTGTGAATGTACACTCATTCCAAATATAATGCCTGCAACACATCCCAAAAAAGCTGGGTCAGGAGCATGTTTACTATAGTGTTACAACACCTTTGCTTTTAATAACAGTTAATAAACATTTGGGGACTGAAGACACCAGCTGACAACATTTTTGGAATTGGGTTTGTACACAAATGTAGCACTTGAATGAAAGCAGAAATGCCTTTGGTATTTTTACTTGGGTTAAGGTACAAAAGTATTTTCTTTGAAATGAACTTTAATGTAACATAGGGTCAACTGTAAAACCGTTAAATATTCCACCGATCCAACTTTTGCTCTCTTGTGTCTGAATCTGATTTAAAAGGACATCACACAAAGCTGCAGCATTTTCTCTGATTCTGAGAGATGGTCAGAGGTGCCCATGCTGACTTACAGATGCTAAGCTATAATTGAACATTCAGTATTTAGGGACAAGATTTTGTGAAAGTAGTTCTGTGCTTGGTTTGATTTATTTGTGGAAGTGCATCATATTCTTTCATAACTTATGGAAAATCTTGTTTATACTTCACAGTATGTTGCAAAAGTAGTGAAGTAAAAAGTAGGATTTTTTACTGTGAAATGTAGTGGAATGAAAGTAAAAATCCCAAAAGTGGATATATTTTATGAATGTACAGATACTTGAAAAAAGTACTTAAAGCTTACTGTGTGAAATTGTTTTATTTAATAAAATTGAAAGAAGTATGATAACTTACTCAGGAGTTAAAAAAAACATGCCAAAATATTGTGTTCATGCGCTGTTGTGAGTCAGTCTCTAAAGTCTGAAATAATAATTTAAAAATCAGAGGTGTTGGGTCGGATTTCACTGGAGTTTTTGGAACTATGTTATAGGTCTTTAAATATTAGGACGTTACACGCACAGGCTCAAAAAGTAGTTCTGGCTTGATGTTTAAGTCTCCAATGCAAAACCAACATTATACTGATAAAAAAATTATGACAATAGGAAATAATTCACTTACATCTTTGGAAGACACATCCTACACCAGGTTTTGAGTGAGTTCTCTTTGAATACTTATCACATTCATCTGCTCAGGGAAGGGTCACAAAATGTTCTTCCACACTTTGCATGCAATTACACATTTCCGCCAGAGAGGTCTCCAAATCTCCAAATCTTACATAGGATGCTGCAGTAAAGGGCGTGTCTGTAAATTATATTTTGCTTCCTCTGTGAGGTTGTGGGTATCACAGTTTCACATTCAGTGCCACATACACATTCATATCAAAAACAGCCTCTAACCTCACGAAAAAAATGAATAGTGGAAGAAAGAGCTGCAGCTTCACAAACAAAGTCCAATTACAAAAATAACTTTTATTATAAAGTAAGGAATGAGAGGAAATCAGAAATAAGGAAAACATAGAGAGAGAGTGAAAGAGAGAGAGAGAGAGAGAAGAGAGAGAGAGAGAGAGAGAGAGAGCATTTTAGCTGTTTCCTATTGACCTGGAAGTAAATTCAAATGGACTTGCACTTATTCAATCATCCAGCAAGTACCTCACTTCAAACAAGAAATGTTTAAAGGTTTAAAAACTAACAGAGGTCTAGCAGCGATCAAAGGCCCCTCTATTGATCCAATCTAATGAAAGATGATGTTTGTTTAACACAGAACTATCATTTGATACAACTCAAAGTGCTGTAAAATATGTATGATTTGTATGAATTGCTTCAAAAATTCATTCAAGGTTTGTCCTTTTTTACCAACTGAGTGCACACATAAGCTATTCTTTTAGCTTTTAGTATCCCATGTTTTACCAGACATCACATTTAATAGAGGTTTACTGGTTTTGACAAAGCAAATCTCCAGGGACAAACACTAACTTAGTGCTTTAGGCATAGAAGGATTTCCCATAACATTAATGCCATGGAAAATATCTCAATGATGTATTCTAATAAAGTGGTTCTTAATGGCATTATTGAGTTCTGGGTGCAACTATGGAAACATGAAAATACCCTTATGCCTAATGAATGATTTAACCAGCATTGTTTAATATTTTAAAAACTGTGCCAATATAGCAATGATATGTCAGCATTTTTGGAAGTTTGAATGAACAGCAACTTTGTATGAAGTTATAGTGGCACACTAGTAACATCCATATCATCATAAAACAAATAAGATCCCTCTCTAATGCACCAAAGAAAGGATTACATGTCAAATAGCCAGAGGTTTTGCAGACTTACAATAAATAAATAAATCATATTTACTTTTAGGTTAATATTTAGATAACTCACACTGGCCCTGTACAGAATATGTAAGAAAGGTTCTACAGGTCACTTTTGGGACAGATGAACCATTCACAGAATATTTCATCTGAAACTGAAGGCTTTAAGAATGAGCACACTGATGATGACAACTATTAAAAATGTACTTAGGCCAAATTAATTTAACATTCAACTCTCATGGATGAAGGATAACACTTTTAAGCATTTGTCAGAATTTGACATGGTAATTATAGCTGTTTGTTAAATTGGCAAGTTTTTTCTTTGTCTTCAGAAGATAAAAAAATACAGAATTTTTTTTAATTTAATCGAAATAGAATCGCTTTTGTGGGAATTATCATTCTGTTTATGGCCAGTGATTGAAACAGTGAAAGAATCTTCTTCTTCTCCTCCTCCTCTCTCTCTGCCTCCTTCTTCTTCTTCTTCTTCTTCTGCTTCTGCTTCTTCTCCTCCTTCTTCTGCTTCTCCTTCTTCTACTTCTTCTTTTTTTTCCTCCTGCTTCCCTCTAGCCAGTGCCTGGCATTAGGCATGGTGAACTTGGGCTCATGTGCAGCTGCTCCAGAGCATCTAATTCTATCAGGAATGCTTTTCTATGGAGATTTGATAAGCTGTGTTTGTGAAGTTTAATGCTTGTGTCAGCAATGGGAGCACCGTAAAGTAACTGAATTCACTAATTAGAAGGGGAATTAGAATTAGAATCTGGATACTTCTGGATGTATAGTGTATATATTAGTGATGACGAAGACCAAGATGATCTGTAGAACCAATGTACAAGTACGCGATGCAAAAGAAGCTCTGAATCAAACAGCAAACATTCTCTCCATCTAAGGTCTTTTATCACCCTCAGCTCTTCGTTGGCATAAAAAAGGAAAAAACAGATGAATGAATCGCACATAAATCACTTGATGTTCAAGGGCAGCTTCTCGGGCTGCTATGACGTCAGACTCTTTATCCTAGCTTCTGCTGGAGAGCCTATGATGGCCTGGAACTGAACCATTAAAGGAGATGAAAGGAGAAAGCGATTAAGCAGGCCAGCTGACTGCTAGATTACCTTTCTCCCCAAAGATCCATCTCTTGTGCATGCTGGTGATGAAGAATATAGGTGTCTGAGTGATACACATCAGGAAGTCGGTGATGGCCAGGTTAATAATAAACATGTTGGATGGCGTTCTCAGGCTTCTACTCCTGAGAGACAGAGAGAGAGAGAAGAGAGAGAGAGAGAGAGAGAGTAAGTGTGTTAGCCCACACCTTACTTACAAATTGTGTTATGGTGTTCTAGCTCTTCCTATGGGACCCTTTAGGTAGATTATTTGGAGGAGATGGTGGGGGGTGGAGACAGAGATACATTTTATGAATATTATCAGGATGTGGGGCAGGATTGGCACAATTCCTCGGGTGTAAGACAAAGTACTATCCATGCCTGAGGTCCTCCGTCAGTGCTTTGATGAAGCCCAAGGATTAGAGAAGTTTAAACTGCAAAAGCCCTCTCTTTCTCCAGGCTTTTACAACACATACTGATCTACCAGAAGCATAAACCTCACATTAGAAGTCTGAGAACCTTAATCTAGGGTGGTCAGAAGGATTACCACTCCACCAGTCACCCTTATTCTGCAGGGGTGGATATCCTGCCATCAGACTCTGACACTCTTCATATCTTCTGACACTCATCATATCTTCATGTCAGTTTATAAGGTCTTTCTTCAGTGATTAGTTTTTACAAATTGCAGATATGCATAATATATACATATTCCCACTGCTCACATCTCAGCTAGCACCCTTCATTTATTTAATTTCCAGTCAAAACAACCAGTAGAGAGTCAATAAGAGAGTCAATAAACAAAACAAAACAAAAGAAACACAAAATATCTTTCAAAAAAATATTCGAATATATGAAGAAAACTGGACTCCTGACAACCATACATGGAGAAACTCAAGCTTCACTCATGCTGCAGATGTTCTACAGTGAAAAGACAACTCAATGCTGTGGGTAAGAGAAGTTGCTAATCAAACAAAGAAGCTGCTGGTGTTCTCTCGACCACCCTGGAGTCCAGACTCAACATCACTGTGTTAAGGATTACTTTGATCATGAGAAGCAGAAAATACAACCAACTTCTAAGACTAAACTTGGGAGGTGTGGAAAAATGGAGTGGACACAATAAATACTGAAAATGTTTATAATACATTCTGTGTAATTTTCTGTTACATAATTTCTGCTTTTTTCCTGATGCTGAAAAATGAAAACTTGTACTGTGGCTTGTGAAAACTTGTGGCTGCTTTTGTCTCTGACTTTTGCACAGTACTATGTATATATATATATATATAATATATATATATATATATATATATATATATATATATATATATATATATATGATTCTTTTAAAAAGTCAGTTGAAACTACTCAACTGAAAGGTTCTTTAGGAAAGCAAAAGTGGTATCTACGGCATCACTCCAGTGAACATCTTTTGGCATCTTTATATCTAAGAATATAGACATATAAGGGTAAATAGATGGAAGGATCTCTAAGAGCTTACTTGCAGAAGGCGTACATGACCAGGAAGTTGCCCACCATGCCGGTGATGCCAATTACTAAGATGACGGAACCGATAGTATAGTGGGCATGGTCTGGAACGTCCACAGTGGGAAATGGATATTGGCTATCCTGAACCATGGCCACCTGTGAATAGAGAAAAGCAAAGTGCAGGTAAGACCAAGTCAAACAGGGGCAGCAGAGTCCATAAGTCCTTAAAAACTCTGCTTGGTAACCTGAAATAAAAAGACTCCATTTAAGACAATCCTTAAAATGTCAGTGGGGATAAAACAGTGTACAAATCAGCGGTAATCTTGGTTTAATCACTTCCATGTACTACTTTATCGTGAACGCTGTCCTCAGGCCTGTTCAGCTGGCATCACAACACTTTCAGGATCACGCTTACAACACGCGCAAGATCTTGCTGCCGCAGTTGCAGTGATTTGTGCACAAAGTGAACAGAACATTTTATGACATTGAGTGGCAACTTTGGGGAATAAGCACTTCTGTCCAGGCAGGTTCAGGGACCTTGCTCTACAGGAGACTGCAATTAGAGCAGCAAATGCAACAGCTCAGAAGCATCAGTGTCAGTGTCTTGGACCACCTGCTTTCTTTACCAGTTTATCCCTCTGCCTGTTCACCCATGCATGAACTGCTCTATCGATCCTGCCTCACTCAGACTCAGCTAGGATGGTAACATGGGGAAACAAACACAGTCACAGTCAGAGACCACCCTTCATTTATTTAATTTTCAGTCAAAGTGGCCATTAATATATAAAGTTATAAGTTCATATAAGTTAGAACATATCGTCCCTGTCCAAAGAAAAACAAGTATCTCCAAAATGGTACGTTTACAGGAGAAGCCAAAAATGTTCTTCACTTTAAATGCAAGTTAATGTATATGATTTCATTCCAAGCAATTTTGGAGCATTTTTACTGATCCATTTATCATAAAATTGTCACACAATGTAAAGAGCAGCTGCTGGGCTCAAATGATGTAGAAAAGTAAAATAAAAAGATATACATATTTTTCTTTGGACAGTGACAATATTTCTGGTGAGATTAGATATAAGATAATCCACTTGTATAAGGAATGAGAAAGTCTAAAGAAAATAAGTAAAAAATAAAACTGGAGTTCAAAAACTGCAAGACCTGGTAGACCACCAAAACTGTGATCATCATATAAACAGTACTTAAAGCTTTCACCTTTGAGAGAGAGGAGAAAATCAAGCTCCACTTCTTTCTTTAGATCTGAAAAAATCCACAGGTGTTTCTGTTTATTCTACCACTGTGAGAAGACAACTCAATGCTTTGAGTCTGAAAGGATGTGTAGCTGTCAACAAGCTGTTACTGAGAAAAGGAAAAAAAGGAATCTGCATATCCATCAAAGAAGCTGCTGGTGTTCCCAGAATAATGGACTGACCACCCCAGACCGCAACTGAATGTGTTTCGGATTACTTGGATTGTAAATGCAACCAACTTTAAAGACTGAACTTTGGAGGTGGAAAAATATTCCTGCAGATTTCTTTGAAAATGCAACCAATTTCTAAGACTGAACTCTGGAAGTCTTGAAAATTTCTTTGAAAAACTGAAAGCAAGTCTCCTAACAAGAATGGAAGCTGTAATAAAGTATAGTTTGGACACACTACTGAAAAAAATGACATATTAAATTGTTGAGGTTTCTGCATTTTTATGTTTTTAAGTATATGTTTTCTGCTTCTTTTCTTGATGCTGAGAAATGAATAACTTATACTTTACAGTCAGTTCAACTGAAAATTAAATAAATAAATAAGGGTGGTATCTGACTTTTGACAGTTTTGTATTTCCTAGGTCGTAAGGCATAAAAGGACAAAAAGCTGCAAAAGTGTAGTGCAAACAAGATTTTATCTAATCTCCTCAACAAAAAGTACTTTCTTGAATTAAACAGATTTGTGGAAAAAAACAACTTGGTGTTTGAAAGAAGGAGGCTTATAAAAACAACACACCATCTCTGTTAGAAAGAATCTGTGACAATTTCAAGAACACTTTCAAGCTGTTTTACTAACTGAGAAAGAGGGCAGCACAGAATTAATGAGCTCATAATCTCGATTTGCAGTAGATTAGCGTGTGTGTATGTGTGTCTGAAAGTGATACAACTGCACTGGTAAAATGGACGGACCACATAAAAGAATATGATAATTGTACATTCTGTATTTCAACTTGTTTTTGCATCAATATCACAAATGCAATAGAATATATTAATGCTAATGTTTAAGGCTAACATTAAAAGGAACTTCTCTGTTTTTATCAACTGTCTTGCAATGAATTTCGTGCACTTCATAGTTTCATGTTATTTCTTTTGCCTCTCCTCTTTTTAAGACCAGGATAATCCCAGATTAACATTTCAAGACAAACAAGATGGATATCCTTGTCCCTCAACTGCTATAATCTGTGGAAAAAAGGAGGAAACTAGAGAAAGAAACCACCTGTGATGTCTTGCTTTAATCAATGCACGATATTCACGAATTAACTTAGAGTCTTAACAGAGAAATTTTCCTCCTCTTTTTTCCTCTCTGTTCTCTATTATTTTTTTTTTAACTTTTTGCAATGTTTCACCATGTTCCAGTACGAAAATGCATTGAAATCTGCAGGGAGAACATTTTAGAGGTGCTTGAAGTCGTTACTTGAACATGTCATTGCATGAGAACCTGAAAAAATAAATAAAAATAAAAATAATGCAAAGAGATGCAAACATTTCAGTCTATCTGATCTCCATCAGTACAAACAGTCCAGTGGTTCCAGTTGCTTTAAACCCCTCATCTAACCAGGCATGTCAACAGATGGCTCTTTTATGTATCATTAAACTGCCTCATTTTAACCAATCAAAGTGTTTCTGACGATTTAAACTATAAAAACTGCTCAGTCCTTTGGCTAGACTGAAACTGCTGAGATCCACTTAGTTCATCATTTTTCATGCTCAGTCCCCAAGCAGCATCTATTAGGCAGCAATTAGACTATGATTTGATAGATCTGGAAAAGAAGCGATTGCCCTGAAAGTGCTTGTGTGAGTTTAGCAGCCATTCATGTCTACAATGTCTTAAATGGATCACTTAACTGAAGTGGTTCAAAGTCACAGTTAAAAACACATTTCAGACTTAACTGAATTGAACTTTAGACTTTTTGTTTTAGATGAGACTATATCTTAATTAGATCTATTTTATTAAAATAAATGATTAGGCTTTCCATTTTGTCACTACCAGAAGAATCATAACACTACTGAAACTTATTAAATGTTTCGGTACTGACTGTTTCGGTAGTGACAATTTTAATTAATTTTGAGCAGAACTTAAAAATGCTAGCCAGTACATGATTAGCCAACACAGCTTTGAACAGTCATACACACATAAAATATATCATAATATTTTTCATTAAAATACAAAAAAAAGTTGACATTTGAAAATATGAGTTTTGGTAGTGACAATTTTTAATGTTACACACTGATTTTCAAATTTGGGTTTAAATAGCTCATAATAATCCCTGTAAATTTCTTGTGAATACTTCTTTTTAACAGTGGGACCTCGATTTGAGCTAATTCTGTAGGTGTGATATATCCTTTATCATTTGGGCTCATCACATCAGTCTTTTGTACCAAACACTTCCATGCTTGAATTCTGTGATTCCCCAGCATAATGTTTTCTCTAGATGGACACTGTGTGGGACAGCTTTTCAAAGTGTATCACAGGGAAGTGTACTTATACAGGGACGTATACTTATTAAAATAAGACCTTTCGCATGGTCAGTGAACTAGGTCACTATGGCCCTATTTAATCCCCCAAGGCTAAGCAACATCATAACATACACATCTTACAGTTCATACACATCTTAATCAGTTCCTATCCATGCTGTTTTGAGTTTGTGAGTGTAGGAGTGTTTAGCTAGACTTGTCAAGTCCTATGAGGGAGCCAGCCACTGATTGGCTGCATGTATTATGCATGAAGAAAGAAGACAACTAAAATCTGCCTTGTCAAGATTGTGCTTATTTGATTTGCTGGAAGAAAATGGCTTGCTTATCATCGCTGTCATGTTTATTTTTACAACATTTGAAAATACCAGCTGCACTTTATATTTCAGGTTGAATGGCACAGTAGAAATTGTCTGAAATTACGTGGAAGAAAACATCTTGTTAAACTAACATACATTTAAGTTAAGAATGTTTTCCCTTCTCCTATGAAATAGGAGGTTGGTTACAGCAGCATCATCATATTTAAAACCTGCAGTCCTTCTCCAAATGGGGAAAAACTATATTGTTGTATGAACTTAATTGAATTCTACCACAGACTTTGTTACCTTAGTATAAAACGCATTTGCCATTATTTTTTGCCATTATAATTTGCAATTATTGTCAATATGTTCCCAAATTGTAGTCAAACAACCCCCTTGATTATTTTTTTATAGTGTGGCCCATTCAACATTCATTAGGTCTGGACCTTGACATTTTAGCTCGTGTATCAGCCGTCCTCCTTTTTGACAGTGCTGTGTCGGAGTTGTGAAATGAAGAGTGACTGAGGGCCCACAGGACAGACGCTAAGGAGCACTGAAAGCGTTTTCCTGCCCTTCTGCTTTGATGTGCTTTTCACTTACGGTCTCCCCATAGACATCAGTGCTACTTCCACGAATTCCATCCAAAAAGAACAGTAATAGACTGAGCTGTCTCAAAGCCCAAGGGTTTTTCTTGTGAGGGTAAAGTTATACATGCATATCTACAAAAAAGCCTATCTTGTATTCCAAGTGGACATTTTTTCTGGTATTTTCAGGTCAGGAGTTTGACCCCCTGAATATTTCCTCCAGCCCCTATTCTTCTCACACAAAGGTCTGGCTGAATAATGTTTGAAATGTCCAAACTAGCTTTTAAATTCTCAGAAGTCATCTTGTATTTGTATTTGTTACAGTCTCTGGCCCAGAGATCAATTCAATTTATAATTCAGTGGTAACACTTTACTTGAACCCTGCTATATCACCTTGACATAACCATGCCATACACATGGGATGGCAGCTGTTATATGCTGTCAGCAGTTGTCATGACAGATTTTGTTCAGTAATGTAACAGTGTCATGTTATGTTACTGTTACCATCTCATGTCACATGCTCAGTTTTGCTAGTATGCTTTA